TACACATCATCACAATTGACAAATGATGTTGATTGCAGACAAGCATGAGTTGGTGGCTCACCTCCACATATTTCCAGCAAGATCAAAATCCATTGAGTTCTATTTGTTGACAGAGGTTCAACACTAACAGACAACCACATGTACGACAATTGCACACATGCCAATATATCTCAGATCACATCTCATAATATTTAATGTGAATCTCAGCATTCATTCCCCTCCTTCATTTCACAGAAACCATTGAAGAGATAACTAAGCGTCGAGGTGGATTCGTTCCAAAGAAGCGAACAGAGACAGGTAAGAAAACTCACCCTTCAATTCACCCACCATCTGCAGGTGGCTCACGTGATTTGAAGTTAACTGTTTATGTTGTGGTGGTTGTTTGTGGTTGAATATCATTTCCCATCATTGTGTGTGTGTGTGTGACGGTGTGTGTGTGTAGTCATGTTGATTGGGTATGAAGAATCGGTGTGTTGTGCTGGTGTTCGGTGTTCCACCCTATCCTTTTCAATGATTGAAGTCACTTGGTGGTGGGGTGAGATTAGTTTCATCTCGTATACACGAATCAACCTATCTGGTGTTGAATTCGATGTGAAATGGACGAGGTTGGTTCAAGGTATGATGAGTGGAGTGTGTTTATGTGGTGGTATAGGTGTGGTGTATTTGATGATCAGTGATTGTATATTCTACTTTATGTGGTTTCACAGAAACGATTAATGAAACAACGTAGAAGGATGGTGAGAAAGTTGCTAAGAGAAAAACTGAATTAGGTATTTTGACCTATGACATATGATCTTATTTGTCCTACAATCTCTGTTATGTCCATACGTTTTACTGAACTTCACAGTTTCATCTGTTTTTCTCCCTACTTTTCTTCTTTGTCTTCTTGCTTTTTTCCCCCCTAATACTCTTTTCATCATTCTTCACTTTTTATTGTCTGAAAAAGCTACCTTCATCATCCACTCCGTGCCATCGTTGTTTTCATGAAGCCTAGGAGTTACCTCAACGCAATGTAAATATGACTGCTAAGTCACATTTATGTGTATCACTCTCATGACTTTCATAGAACCCTAGTCTTAACGGACTGTAATATTCTTACTTTATGAATTAAACATTTTATATACTCCAGTGCTTAAACAAACAAATGGATAACTATTTGGAATGGATTTCGGAATTTCTTTTTGCTGGGTCTTACATCCTCTACGATGTTCAGATTCTCATTTACTTATATGCAGAGATGGGATAGAAAAAACTCAATATAAACCAGCATATAGATGTTGTACCAATCTTCTGTGGTTTCAAGGGCCCATGATTACCTGTCCATATATTTTCCTTTTACAGAAACCATTGAAGAGATCACTAAACGAGGAGGGACTGTTCCAAAAGACAGAAATGCAACAGGTAATTGAAAATATTTCTGTTATTTTCACCAATAATTATTTGTATACTTATTGCAATTTTGGTAAGTCGTTGGTAGTTTCATTGGTTTCATGTATACTGGGTGATCAGACATATTGAGTAATTCCACTTATATGGATACATTATTACCTTTTTAAATTATAATTCGGAGGAAAAGTTTAAAATCTTGCAGGTATTCAAGTCTGGACTGGAATCAGTGAGGCAAATCAAGCATACTCACATCAACGTTTTGTCAATGAAACAGCATAAACAGATGACGAAGATCATCTCACATATATGATGTCCTAGCTTGATACATTAAGAACAATTTGATCTCATCATGACTTGTCAAACTATTTATATAAAAGCTTACGAAAAACAATAAATTAAGTCAGAAAGAAACATGAAAATAGGTTGGACAGAATGAAATCGAAATCATGACACTCTTGATATGAAAATTAAAATCAACACTACCAAGGGTAGGATCAGCATGATTACAAATTGTGTTAGTACCCACAAAAGCAGTATTAATATACGACTGGATAGAACTTCAACAAACTGAAGCTGAGCACATTATTAACCAGTAGAACTTATGTTGGTTGTTTCGATTGCTTAGTTTAAAGTATGCAGATACTTCTTTACGATTACACTAGATTCTTATCATATAAGTGAATGAATTAAAGTTATATTGTAGCCATTTTGTCTCTTATTTTGATGACATTCTTGTAAATATAGCTCAAATCATTCCGATTTCTTGAGGAAAACTTATGAAATATTGTATGACAATAGGTAGCGACTTATTATCAGCACCCGACGTCATATGAATATGTAACAAATAAGTTGATACACCTTATATGACAGCCTAAATGTGAAATATGACGTCATAATGTGGACGGTCGTAATGGTATCGAAAATCTGGAAAGAAATAGTAAAATCTAGGAGGTCAAATCACCTATTAACTTTAAAGTGAACATATTCACAATAATGCTATGCAATAGACTTCTCTAGTACTTCATCTAACAGTGAATATACCTCATTGACAATGCTGCATGTCTTAACATGAAAAGTATAGAAAACTCATTGTCATTGGTCCGCAGTTTTTTTCAAATATTTATTCCTTTGCACCACAATATCTAATTCTTATGGCGTAAATCTATATTGTTGTGAATGATAACACTTGAGTAGATATTCACTTGGATTACGTGATTATGTGGAAACTTACAGGTTCTCAACATCGTCAGTGTGGGTTCTTCTGGTTCCCGAAGCTATAAACATAAGAATTTATGGCAAAATAGACGTTTATATAGCGTAGCGGGGCATCGCGAAGACAAATCAAATAAGTCGACTGCTTGTAACGGGAATTTGGAATTTCGTACGATTTGTTGCCACTAATGGTGAAAAAAGAAAGTATGACTGAAAACGATCGAAACTTTAACACTATGTATATGTTGAGAAGTGATATTTTCTTATTCATTCCATGACTTGTGTCATCTTCTGATGTTTTTAATCTAGTTTGATGACCTTCCTTCTGTACCATACAGGTGCCGTAAAATCTTGTGAATTTTCCAACATATATCAATATGATGATGCCTGTAAACTGGCTTCTCTCATGTTAAATTACTAATATGAGAATAAAATATTTATTTATATGTATTACAAGAATGACCAAACGATACCTTCAAAATTAGTAGTAGGAACAGGTTCATAGTAAAACATATCACATGATAAAACAGACAATATAGAAATAATACGTGAGTGAAAAGAACCAGACGAAAAAATCATAAAACACATGACAAATCTTAAGCAATAACTATGTGAGACACACTAAACTATCATTTAAAATAAAATATTCAATTATTGCCATTATTCTACCCAGATTTAAACTGAGATAATTCAACACCCTATTTTTCCTTGCACAGAAACAATTGACGAAACAACCAAGAAGGATGGGAAAGATCCAAAGAGAAGAACGGAGATAGGTAACATTCAATACTTTTCTCACAGTTTTCCCCATGATGACTGTATGATAATTAAAGATGTGGTACCTGTGTTGTTCACTCACTTCCGACTGATTTCAAGGATGTAGTGTGTAGATGGTAAGAAGTAAATGTAGTGAACTGGTTTGATGTTTTCATTTTTCAGTCAGTCTTACATTTTTCGTTATTAGAGTGTTGTGTTTTCTACGCTGTGGTTTACTTGTCCACTTTGTATTGTTTGACAGAAACTATTGAGGAGATAACTAAGCGAGGAGGCAAGACTGTGCCGAAGAGACGAACGGAAACAGGTAATTAAACATAATTCTTAATGTGATATAGTATTTTCCGTCTAGAGAATGCTGAATGTTTTAGGGGAAAATGATTTCTTGTTGCAAGTTGATCTATCGAATTTTGTTTGAGCATCATTTACCAGACTTGGAAGCCGTGATAAATGAAATTTATTTTTTTATTGAGATTGCTTGAGATCAGTGATTTGTTAGGTTAGTTTCTAGTTGTGCGTACTGCACAAGATATTTTTCAAGTACTCCAGTGAAGAATGCGCATTTGTTTGTCTAACCTGACTACTGAATCAACCGTATTAGTAATATTCTGGCTGAAAAGTGAAAACTATTGTCACTTCCCATGGTTATTCATATAGTCTGTTGTTTAGATTTCTTGTCGATCTCCGACAATTAACTACATTTCAGTAAATATGCGTGGAAAGTAAATTCACCCTAGGAGACACTAGGTGGCATATGTTTGTCAACTGACTGATCTTTCTGAGTAACATATTATGTACCGGCTGACAACTTATCTAAATTTAGAGTGCATATCAGTCGCTTCATCTTAAGATGATGATAAGATATACTGTTCTTCTTAATGATCGCAATTAGTTTACTTAATCGAATTGTAGCTTGACAGTTTATTCGTAGGCAACGCAATAACTGAGCAATACACACATTAAACTTAGATGTTAAATAAACACAAACATAAAATGTTATTTGTTATGGAAACTAGTTTACGGGCGACTTTATCACCCTGTTAAGAGAGACATTTGTGCAAATCACAGGATACCAGTTTATGACTTCAGGGAAGCAAAGACGTTTGCAAAAGTAGAAATATCTGGAAGAAGGATGTGTTAAGCATCTTGATAAACTAAATATTGGCAACTTACCGGTGTAGTAATGAGTGACAGTAACCAAAATGCGGGAATCCATGAACTTACAGTGAAGCAGCCAAAAACAGTTAGGAGTATATTTGTAATGTAACAAGGATGCAGTATACCTCATCATATCTTTATTGTAAATAAAGTTGTCTTTTTTGAGTATTTTTGGAGATTCTGTACCACAGTATATTAAACCAAATTTGATTTTCTTTCATGTGAATACCGTTGAAGGTGATTACTTCAACAATGTAACAGTGTGCTAAGAAACATAATTCGGACTAGGACAACTTCAACCAATCACAGAACATTTTGTATAAATTTTGTCATAAAACCAATAATCATATATGACTGGTATGAAATTGTAGGGTTAATTAATAAATGCTAAAGTATAAATGTAACACATCGTATCTGAGGAAATTAAAGGCATACGAATACTATTATCAAAAGTGAACTGATGACTCATGCAGAGAAGTGCTGAAATAGATGGAGAAATATTTCATTCCATATTCTTCCTTTGGACAGAAACTATCGACGAGACGACCAAGAAAGAGGGTGGAATGGTCCCGAAGAAAAGAACAGAAACAGGTAACCAAACACATTTTTCTCACAATTCATTCCAATTATTCACTGCCATTGAAGAGTGAAGTATGTTTCGGAAGACCATTAAAGTTGCATAACTGTTCTACACCTATTCCTACTCTGAACATGCAACATATCAATGGAATGACAAAATCCACACATTCCTATGCTGTCAACACACACGCTGTGTTACGTCCTAGATATCTGCAATAAATGCTGAAATACTCACCACATGGTAACCGAAAGTCATTTAACAGAATAACCCTCATATATCTACACATCATCACAATTGACAAATGATGTTGATTGCAGACAAGCATGAGTTGGTGGCTCACCTCCACATATTTCCAGCAAGATCAAAATCCATTGAGTTCTATTTGTTGACAGAGGTTCAACACTAACAGACAACCACATGTACGACAATTGCACACATGCCAATATATCTCAGATCACATCTCATAATATTTAATGTGAATCTCAGCATTCATTCCCCTCCTTCATTTCACAGAAACCATTGAAGAGATAACTAAGCGTCGAGGTGGATTCGTTCCAAAGAAGCGAACAGAGACAGGTAAGAAAACTCACCCTTCAATTCACCCACCATCTGCAGGTGGCTCACGTGATTTGAAGTTAACTGTTTATGTTGTGGTGGTTGTTTGTGGTTGAATATCATTTCCCATCATTGTGTGTGTGTGTGTGACGGTGTGTGTGTGTAGTCATGTTGATTGGGTATGAAGAATCGGTGTGTTGTGCTGGTGTTCGGTGTTCCACCCTATCCTTTTCAATGATTGAAGTCACTTGGTGGTGGGGTGAGATTAGTTTCATCTCGTATACACGAATCAACCTATCTGGTGTTGAATTCGATGTGAAATGGACGAGGTTGGTTCAAGGTATGATGAGTGGAGTGTGTTTATATGGTGGTATAGGTGTGGTGTATTTGGTGATCAGTGATTTTATATTCTCTTTTGATTGTGCTGCCATTCTTTGTTTTACATATCGCTAATGCCTGAATATATGAATGCATGATTTTCGGATTATTATTTATTATTTATATTTTGCGCAGAAGCTGCTGAAGGAACAATGCGCTTGAGTAGCACGTCTCCATTCCACTCTCTTCTCTAAAATCTTTTCAACCTGGCTACACGACTGCCCACAAACCCTCATTTCCACCTCACACGATCGACTCCATGTCATCCTCAATTAGGAAGCCAAACTCGTCGCTTCCATTCCAGGTTCCACTCGAGTGCCTGGCCTGGCGCCTGATGTCCCCAGTCGGCCTTCTCAGTGTATGCCTATCCCAATCCATCTCCACTTCCTTCTACTGCATATTTTTTGAGCGATAGCTTCTTGCTTCGTTTCTTCGTTCCCAGAGTTCCCTGTTGCTCATCCTAACTATTCTGACCATCTGATCCTCAGTGTCAGTAACGAGCCAGTGTAGGCAGTTGTTGATGAATGTTTGTAGTTTGTTGGAAATGCATTTCGGAATGCACCAAGTCTCTCAACACTCACATAGAAGCACTGAATTGACTCAGGTTGGTGTTGGAAATTCGGATGTTGTTCACGCTTATTGTAGGCTGAGTGCAGATGATCTCCACACTGGTCTCAGGTTAATGAACACTTGTCTTGCTGTCTTTCCGAACGTGGCTGGCTTTGACATCCTCATTTGTGTCACCACCGCCTGTAATTGAAACAGTGCTGCCTGAGTGGTGGGTGAAGGAGGCTACTCCCCTTACGTTTCTCCCGTTGATGGTGATTGAAGCTTGCTGTTGTTGTTGTTGGTGGTGGTATTGGTGGTGGTATTGTTGTGTATCTTCACCACCTCTGTCTTATCCATATTCACTTGAAGTCCCCTCTTCCTTCGCTGCCTCACCTCTCCTACCAACTTGTTGGTTTTCGTCTGTAGATCATCAAGTTTGTGTCACAAGACATTAGACAGAATGTCGTGGTTGGCGAAATCCAAATCTTCTGGATTCTTTTCCTTAGTCGATCCAGCGTATCCCTCTCTACTCACAGCTCCTCACAGTTGTCTGTTGGAAGATGCAGTCGACGACAATGAGGAATGTCGCTGGTGATAGTAGACAGCCTTGGTTTACTTCTTCCTGTGTTCACTTGAGAGGCATCACTGATCTTCCCATTGTGAATTATTTGGCATGTTGTTTTGAGTTTGACATTATTCTGTTCAAGAAATTGTGATTTATTTACCGGCTTATTTTTTTTAAACAGAGAGAATTGAAGAGATAACCAAACGAAAAGGCGGAAAATTTCCAAAGAGAAGGACAGAAACAGGTATATTATTATTCCTGTTGCATCTTTTCATTATTGTCTAATATGAGGTTTTCTTTACAATATTTTATTTGGTACTCTTCTACCAATTTTTCTACATCGGTTGCTTTTTACTCCAGCATTAAGTGATTGAAGTCACTTTACATGAATATTGTTTCACTTTGCGTTCTCTGGATACAAGAAAGACATTTTAGATGAATGTCAGTGGATGAAGTTTCACAGAAATTAGCTAATAAACCAGATATTCATTTCTACTGTACATTTTATTTTTCAGAGACGATTGAAGAAATGACTAAAAAACGAGGTGGGACTGTTCCAAAACGAAGGACAAAAACAGGTGATGAAAAGTATTTTCTAGCCGTTATTGCCACCACATTATTCTTTACTTCTTCATAGACGCTTGAGAATACTGTCAACATTAATGATTTCATGTTTATCTGACAATCAGATATGTGATGCATAAGAATGATTCATATGACGTGTTGATTGTTTGAAACGCTTTCTAGTGTACAGGATGGTGAACTACTGGGAATCTTCTAACTAGTTATGTTAAGTATGTATAAGTGAGCTACAATTCACCTGACAACAAAGTTGGGCATGACAATGTGACAGGCAGTTGCAAATACTATGAACAACATTTCTCTTGAGCGTTGTCAACGTTGTCACAGCATATCACAACACGTTATGCTATGGTCAAAATCATCATAATGTTTGTATGCAGCAATGGCAAGCCAGTTAAATGTATGAACCATACTACAAAAGTTCCTAAACTGCTAGCTTGTGTTTTCTACTCTAATACTAAATATATAGCCAAAGTTTTTATAGGTAGCCTAGACAAACAGTCATAATTCTGACTAACTGATTACCTATATTTTTGCTACATGTCTGTTCCACTTCATAGGGCATGGTACAGATTCTATTTGGAAATGCGGAACGTTTGTGCTAGTCAATTCAGTCTATTAGGCTTCTCAAACTGATGAAATATTTCACATTTTTTAACTTATAAATGTCTCAGAAATATAAAAGTTTTGCTTTCCTGTCATAATCAAGTTATGAAAAACCAACCAACAGGAATAGTTACAAGCAAAGTTAACTTGTAATCTCAAAAATCTCAACTAATATCGATACAAAAAGACACGAAGCTAACTAAGATGCTATCATTTACAACAAAATATTCAATTGTTACCATGACTCTCTCTAGATTAAAACTGTAATAACTTAACACACATTTTTCCCTTCCACAGAAATCATTGATGAAACAATCAAGAAAGGTCGAAAACATCCAAAGAGAAGAACAGAGATAGGTGACAATCAATACTTTTGTCACAGTTTTCCCCATGATGAGTGTATATCAGTTGATACTAGAGTTATGCTAGTTAAATATGTTTCGACTAAACTCCGACTAAGTTGGACTATATGATGTGTAGGTGGTAGGAAATGTTTTTAGTATAGTGGTATGGTGCTCTCCTTTTCCAGTCAGTCTTACACTTTTTGCTATCAGATTGGTATGTTTTGAATACAATAATTTGTTTGTCCCTTGTGCGTGGTTTGAGGAGATAACTAAACAAGAAGGGACATAGACAGATAATTAGGCATTTTCAGAATGGAATTATGTATTTCGATATCGTTTCATAGTTTAATCACTTTCTTTTCTTTTATATTCTGGTTTTTGATAATGTTGATCTTTGTATTTAGTCTGACCTCATCGATGAGATTTTTATTCACAGTTTTCGATTATGATTTCATTGGTAAGATAGTGTAAACAGCTGCAAAGTGTTGTATCAAAGCTATTCATCTGATTTCTTAACATGACTATGGAATACGAAATTATTTAGATACCTTATTTACTTAGGGTTTGTTAACATCGTTATTAGAATGCTGAATGCATCTTCTGATAAGTGTTGGATTATTCACTCCTGGTCTTTTGAACTGGGACTTTTGTCGTATGCTTTTTTTTAAAAGCAATCTCCTTTTCAAGACAATTCAAAGGAAATTCTTTTATCTGATTTCTACTTTATAGAAACTATTGAAGAAATTAGAAGGAGAGGTAGAAAGGTTCCAAGGACAAGGACGGAAATAGGTATTATCATATTATCTCTCGTTTTTCCTCAAGTTTTTGTTATTTTCCTTCCACACGTTTACTTCACTTAAGGAATTACAAGTTTTTTTTCTTAAGACATCCTTGTTATCAGTTTGAAAAATATGAACATTTCACATCGTATGCTTTATTACATTTGTCAGTCTATGAGACTTATTACAGAGAAAGAAATCCAAAGTAGAAATTCATTCTGAGAATCCCATGGATAAAATGAACACGAATATAGTCAAGGTCAGGTATAAGCAAAACACCAATCAAAGACGGGAATTGTACAATATCACCTTGTACCAAGATTGTTTAAATGAGCTGAAATCTTTCTTATAAGATTTTTCTTACTACATTTTAAAAACGTAGTCATTTAAGACTTGAAGTTGAAAAGGATGTGTTTGAAATTTCATCATATCAGAGAACCGTATCAATAATGACTAAAAATTGGTCTCACGATTTTGCCCAAAACCTATATCAAAAGTGATAACAAAAGTTGTAGTGATCTCAGCATCAGTTTCCAATCACATTCCAAGCAGGCAACTATAAAGAAGAGCTTGAATACGATGGAAGAGAATAAGTTAACTAATGTGGTTTACTATGTGTAATAGAAACTTCAATCAGCTATCAAATAAAATGATCCGTCATTCTAGTTTATATCAGCACATTTGGATCGAAAAAATTCTTATTATATTTGGATGATAGTGAGAATTTCTGTGTATTTATGAAATGATTCGGTAATTATCATTCTAGTTACTTGAGAGTTATCAGACATCAATAGACTTTACTTACCAGTTAGTCAGTAGTTTAAGTGATCAGTCTGGATAAGAGATCCATATTAGATTTGTTTATTTGATTTATAACACACAGTATAATTTTATTATTAGTCCCTTGGGTTCCTAGTGGAACATAGGGCTTCAGTAGCACGCCTCCAGTGACCTCTGTTCTCTGAGATCTTTTGAACCTGGTTCCACGACAGCCCAGAAGCTCTCATTTCCTCCTCGCACGACCTCCTCCATGTCACCCTCGGACGTCCAACTCGTCGCTTCCCATGGGGATTCCACTCGAGGGCCTGACGCGTGATGTCCTCAGTCGGCCTTCTCAGTGTATGCCCAATCCATCTCCACTTCTTCCTGCATATTTGTTGCGTGATAGGTTCTTGGTTGGTTCGTTCCCAGAGTTCCTTGTTGCTTATTTTTTCTGGCCATCTGATCTTCAGCAGCGAGCGTAAGCAGTTGTTGATGAATGTCTGTAGTTTATTGGAAATGCCTTTCGTGACGCGCCAAGTCTCTGAGCCATACAAGAGCACTGACTTGACGTTGGTGTTGAAAATCCGTATCTTGTTCCGCATGCTGAGTGCAGAAGATCTCCACACTGGTTTCAGGCTAATGAATGCCTGTCTTGCTTTTCCGATTCTGACTTTGACGTCCTCGTCCGTCCCGCCTGTAGTTGAAACAGTGCTTCCTAGATAAGTGAAGGAGGTTACTTCCTTCAAGTTTCTACCGTTGACGGTGATTGGAGTTTGTTGTTGTTGTTGATGGTGGTGGTGCGGTATCTTCATCACTTCTGTCTTCTCTATATTCACCTGAAGTCCCGTCTTAGCTGCCTCCTCTGTCAACTTGTTAGTTTTTGCCTGCAGATCTTCAAGTTTATGTGACATTAGGCATAAGTCATCGGCGAAATCCAAGTCTTCTAGGTTCTTTTCCGTCGTCCAGTGTATCCCCCTCTTCTCGCTGCCTACTGTTTGCTGCATGATCCAGTCCACCACAATTAGGAATATCATGGGGGATAGTAGGCAACCTTGTTTCACTCCTGTCTTCACTTCAAAGGCATCACTGAGCTTCCCATTGTGGATTACTTGGCATGTGGCATCTTCATATAGTTGTTGAATGAGGCGGATAAAGGTTTGCGGTACTCCGTAGTATTGAAGCAGTTTCCAAATTACTTCTCGGTCGACGCTGTCAAAGGCCTTCTCAAAGTCGATGAAGTTGAGGTATAGAGCTGATTGCCATTCTACGCTCTGTTCTATGATGATACGAAGCGTTGCAATTTGGTCAGCACATGATTTGTACTTCCTGAAGCCTGCCTGTTCCGGTCGCAGTTTTGAATCCAGTGCGTCTTTAAGCCTCTCCAGGATGATGCGGCTTAATATTTTACTTGGGGTGGATAGGAGAGTGATTCCTCGCCAGTTCTTGCAAGCACTGAGGTCTCCCTTCTTCGGCAGTTTGACAAGGTAACCCTTCTTCCAATCGTCAGGTACCTTCTCTTCCCTCCACACCTTCTGCAATAGTGGTGTGAGCATGTCCGCTGTTGTCTCTGCATCTGTTCTCAGTGCTTCTGGCGGTATTCCATCTGGTCCTGCTGCTTTCCCGCATTTCAGTAGCTTTATGGCGTTCAGGACTTCCATTTTCGTTGGGGGATTTATGTTCACTTGTAATTCAGCGGCTGCAGGTGGTATTTCTGGACGAAGTGCAGGTGGTGGTCGATTCAAGAGCTTCTTGAAGTGGTCGGCCCATCGTTTCCTCTGTTTCTCTTCTTTTGTAATTAAATTTCCTTCTTCATCTTTTATTGGTTTCATCTGTGTTGGTCTCTTCCCTGATAGCAACCTGGTTATTTGATACAATGTCGTCAGGTCTCTCTTACCTGCAGCCTGTTCTGCTTCACTTGCCAGTGTGTCGTAGAAGTGTCGTTTGTCTTTGCGTGCACTCTTCTTCACTTCTTTATCCAGTGTTTTATACATTGTGCTCAGTTCCTCTTGTCGTTGAGCATCCTTGCACTGGTTTATCTTCTGCTTCACCATCCTCCTCTCCTCTATCAGCTTCCAGGTATCCGTCGAGATCCATTCCTTGTCTTCTTTCTTCTTCCTTCCTAATACTGTTGTGCAGGTTTCTTTCCACATAGCTTTCAAAGACTTCCAGTGTTCTTCTACACAGGTTTCTTCAGGGATGTCCCTCGACGTCTCCCATTTTGTCTTGATGGCTGCTTTGAAGATCTCCTTTGTAGTTTCATCCTTCAGTTTCCGAGTGTTGTACTTGAATTGAGGTCTATCACCAGCTTCCTTGAAGGCTTTTAACTTGATTTCGAAGGTTCCTTGCACTAGATAGTGGTCTGAACCTACATCTGCTCCTCTTCTTGACCTTGTGTTAAGTAGACTGCGTCTCCATTTTCTTGAGATTGAGATAAAGTCGATTTGGTTTTTAGTGTGTCCATCTGGTGAAATCCATGTCGCTTTGTGGATATCCTTGTGCCTGAACACACTGCCTCCAATCACCAAATCGTTGAATGCACAGAATTCTGCAAACAATTCTCCATTCTCATTCATTTCACCTAGCGCCTCTCGACCCATGGTTAGTTCTCTTCCCGTGTTGTCCCCTCCCAGTTTGGCATTCATGTCGCCCATTAGAATTTTGATATCGCCAACTGACGTCTTGTCCAGTGTTGACTGAAGTTGTCTGTAGAATTCCTCCTTTTTCTCTTGCTCTGCATTATTTGTAGGTGCATAACATTGTATGATTGTGACCTTTCTTCCTTTTGAGTTGAATCTTGCTGACATGATCCTGGAGGAGATTGGTTCCCACTGCATGAGAGCCTTCGATGCTCTTGAGGACATCATGATAGCCACTCCCTCAGTGTGCTCGTGGTTGGCGTCTGGGTGACCGGAGTAGATTATTGATTCTCCCGTTGACAGTTTGGAGAGTCCACTCCCATTCCATCTGCTTTCGCAAATCCCAAGCACTTCGATGTTATACCTTCTCATCTCCTTTGCAATCTGGGCTGCCTTACTGGGTTCAAACATCGTGCGGACATTCCATGTCCCCACGTTTACTTTCGCTTTCATCGAGAGAAGACACATCGGCCAATTGGCTTCCCGAAGGCTTTCACCAACTGGCGTCATTTCGCCTCTCCGATTCCAGCGGGGAATAAGTTTGTTTTCATTTTTTATATTTTGTTTGTGCTTTGAAGTTTCTTTAGCGGTTAGATTTGTTTTACGGGGTAGGGTTGCTAGCCCTATGCCCAACCTTCCCTCTTTACCCGGGCTTAGGACCGGCTAGTAACTAGTAAACTAGTTAACCAGGCGAGGTGATGTTTCGAACATAACTTATTATTGTTCATAATCATCTCAATGTAATCACAAAGTACTTTTGATGGCTGATTTTTATAGTTACGTCACTTAATATGAGTTGTTTTTATTGCTAGCAACATTTTACATATCTCCGGTATGGGTGTTGCGTCATTTCTATCACATGTGTAAGGTGGGTGTTGATTCGATGAACAAAGATTCATTAATCAATCTCATTCTCCACCTAATTATATTGGACTTAAGTACAGTGACTTTATCCCACTCTATTGTGTGGTTGTGTGTTAATGCAAGCATAGCGATAGCCGAGTTTTTCTAGATTATTGATCTTATTCAGGTCTGTTATTTTATATTTGACTAAATTCCTATGTTCAGCTATTCTGACTAACCCCTACCGACTAGTTTCACTTGTATACTTGACCTCACAGTCATTGTATGGAACTTGATAGACTAGATTATTTTGCTTAACTGGTTCAGTCGGATCCTTAAGCTGACAAAGTTAATCTCTAATTGAGTTTGTAGGTTTCCGAATGCCACCCTAATTCCAGCTCTGTTGAGGATTCTACGTAAAGTTTCTGAGGTACCCTCCTTATAGGGTAATACAACGGAGGCTGTGAACTCTTTTTTTCTCGTGTTGTCGTTATTAGTCGCACTCATGTCGCTGTTATTTTTTCTTTTTTTTGTGTGTCCGTAAGAATTTGCTATTGAATTGCGGAGGATACTTATTAACTATTAGCGCTTCTTTCACGTGTTTCAATTCCTTGTTTAGGTTCTTGCTGTGACTAGTCAGTTTTCTAGCTCTATCATTTAGACATTTGACTAATCCTGTCTTAACTGACATTGGATCGGATGATTTGAAGTCTATATACCTGTTGGAGTGTGTTAGTTTTCTGTAGACAGTAGTGTCCAAGCCACTGCCTATTCTTCGTTTTATTCTGCAATCCAACATAGGTGATTCTACTTGTTCATTCTCCACCTTCTCGTAAGTGAATTGGATTGCGTTTACTACTGAGTTTATAGATTTGAGGAAACTGTCAATATGTTCCTATTTCAACACAGTAAATGTGTCATCTACATATCGCCACCATATTTTTGGTATAGAACTAAACGTTTGTAAAGCTATGTTTTACCAACTATCCATAAATATATTTGCTTCAATCAGTGATATTGGCGATCCCATTGCTACTCCTTCTGTTTGTCTGTATATTTTGTCTTGAAACTTGAAGGCTGTGAACGTGAGAGATCATTCATTCAAAACAACTAACAGGATTACGAAAGACCCGCAGAAGATTTTCATTAGCATATGTTGTGAAAAATAGAAATTGCATGATTGGTCTTCGAAACGTCATTTGAAATGAAAGCAAAACATGGATAGTTAAATCAACCAGTCGCTGAAAATTTCCCGCTCTTTGAGCTAAAAGAACGCTGAACTAACGAAACCACTCCTTGAAGTTGGGAATATTCTTCAATATCTCTCAGCTGACCATCTTTCTGAAAGTTATTACTCTATAATGAAAAATATTTGTGGCTCAGGTGGATGGTCTTGGTTGTATTGTGTCCTCTCAGCTGCGTTGCTTAATCACGAAGCTTTCATCATCTTACTAGACAGCGACATCATCACCACTAACTTCAGTATGGAATGAGCTGTCAATATCTTTCCGTCAGTGATTTAGTAGCTTGCTCTGACGATGTGGTCTGTGATTAATTATTTCCTTAGACTGCTGTGTCATTGATTGTATAGACTTTCCTGTTGGCTGTCCCTCTGCTTGACCTATGACATTTCTGTCGTTTATCATTTTTCTTGTTAGTTGATAGATGGGTCTCTGTCTATGTGTCTGTTGATTGCTGACTGACTGACTGACTGACTTATCTGAATGCCAAGGTACTAGGAATTCTCTGATGTCGTCCATCAAGAGGATGAAGCTTCACGATTCAACAACCCAGCTCAGAGAACATAATACAAGTAATACACCATAGTTATCCACAAAATCGAAAAATCTCCATTCTCCTAACATTTCAAACATGCTTATCTTACTAGACATTCACAACAAGAATATTATGAGATTAGCTACGTTACTGCCAGACATAAGGTACTGGCATCTGTACTGTCTCAGATAGCACAGTTAGTGTTGGTAGCAGTCTTATATGTATGTGCTGTCTTTGTGTGCAACATTCAACTGCGATCCGATAAATTAGGTCACTGATAGGCATTGTCTTTCATAATTATGCAATTTATTCTACAGTCAGACATTCTACCATTACTTTGTATTTCTCTATATTTACTGACTTACAGAAACGATAGAAGAAACTAGGAGAAGGAAAGCTCAGAGGAAAGCGAAGAAAGTTGTATCAATATTTGGTAATCATGTCTACCTTTTTACTCATTTTGTGCCTGCTTGTGACTATCATTATAGCAGTTGACAGTGGTTGTAGTGGTGATCTGCACAAGTTTCCAATTGATTTTTACGGAAGCAATACCAATTCTTTCACTCTGATTTAGCATATCGCCATGCTTTGTTTTGATTTCAGGTCACCAAAGCACTAATCGTTGTTGTTAGAAGAGGTCTCCCCAATACGTTCGTTTTCTAATCCACTTCACACCATTATGAAAGTTATGTGCTTATCACATGGCATCAAGCTTTTGAGCTGGCGCATATAACATAAACACTACGAGATATGATATCGATTCCTTGTCTTAAAGGAAGAAATAAAGTGGATGTTAAGCTATGATATACTTTTCAGTTTTCAACAAAATGTATCGATACATAGATTTGCACTTATCTACTGTATTCCATTCATTCAGTATATGATAAGAATCCGCTTCTGCATGTGCTAAATTGATGATTAGTTGGGTTTAACATTTGTGAACATCTCTATTTGTTGTCTAACTTTTACATTATCGCTTGTAAGTTCAAACTTAATGCCGAATAGTCGCCGTCAATTTTATGTACGTTTTTAGATATTATCGCTGATACTGTCACTGGTATTATTCGCCCAATCAGAAAAGTAGTTACAGGTAATGTGTTGCTTTCCTTACATCAAGTTTAATGTTTATGTATTTATAAAACTATTGCGAATTTCCATTACTTTACTACTTAAAAACAACTTTGAGTAGTTGAGTTATCTCTTTATAATCAGCGTCCTCTCCCAAAAATGTGTCGTCAAAAATAACATAATGAATTGAATTCATTAAGTATGGAAGGAAACCCATGGATCATTGACTCTATGCAGCATCACTGCAAGCTTGAGTAAAAGCAATGCAATTTGTAATCGTCTACAGATACCATTCAGTGGCTGAATAGTCTAAAAATTTATATATTGAATACCGTTTAAATAAATTTTTCAGCTAGTTATTTTAACCATTCTACTTTTAGGTATTGATGAAGGACTGTTTGGCAGGAGAAAAGCTAATCGACGTATTCGTGTGCATACTGGAGGAGAAATGGGGTTTAAAACACGATGTCAAGTCCGTGGTGGTATAGGAATAGGCGTTAGACGATGTTGTGGAGGCTGTGTACGAGGAAGAGTAGCTGTGAGAGGGAACGTTGGTGTTCGCGCAGGTGGATGCTGTAAGAGATGTGGTTGTTGCCGAGCCCGTACATGTTGTCGCCGATGCTAAGAGGAATCATATTTCTCTCAACTTTTATTACTTTTCAAACGTTTATTCAAGCGCTAAACTCTTCTTCGTTATTCAACATTCAGCAGTTTTTATTGACAAAACTTAACAGTTGGTGACAGTTTCACAGTGTAATGTACGTATATATATATATATATATATATATATATATATATATATATTTGTAATACAGAAATAACAGTTAACCTTTTGACTTGTGTTTCATCAAAATGGGATTCCAATTAACGTCCATTAGTAATTCTGTTAAAATTGGGGATAAAAGGATATAGTTTGTGGAGTACATGCCTTTCATGATCACGAAAAGCAAGGAGAGACTAAAATTATCTCAAAACTGTGTTATTTTTAATTTAACAGTAAACTAAATATAATGTTCCCTGACCCTTGAAGTTTTGTCGTGAACTTTTTATCGCCACACTCATTGAACATCTTCGGCACATAATTCATAAAGAAGTCTTTTTCCTACAAAATATGTCTCACAATTGTGTACTAATCCTGATATGACTATAGTCAGTAAATTATGTCCAGAATGTTACTGAGGAAGTTAAAATATACGCTATGATAACTACTGACCAATAGAGATATTTTATGAATTGAGAAATTCCTAAAGTAGGTAGTGCGAAAATGTTCTTGATTGTATTGTGTCCTCTCAGCTGCATTGTTTAATCACGAAGCTTTCATCCTCTTACTAGACAGCGACATCATCACCACTAACTTCAGTATGGAATGAGCTGTCAATATCTTTCCGTCAGTGATTTAGTAGCTTGCCCTGACGATGTGGTCTGTGATTAATTGTTTCCTTAGACTGCTGTGTCATTGATTGTATAGACTTTCCTGTTGGCTGTCCCTCTGCTTGACCTATGACATTTCTGTCGTTTATCATTTTTCTTGTTGGTTGATAGATGGGGTCTCTGTCTATGTGTCTGTTGATTGCTGACTGACTGACTGACTGACTTATCTGAATGCTAAGCTCCTAGGAATTCTCTGATATTTTTCGTGTTTCCTCTCTCCGTCCAAAATTTCTACATTGTCGAAATCCAATTCATGTCCATCGTTGTTATCCACATGCATTGAAATGAGTGACGAATTGTCGTGAAGTTTACTAGCGAACTGGTGTTCCTGTAGACAAAGGCGAAGGGGGCGACCACTATGTCTAATATACTGTTGACTACAGTTATTGCAGTTGATTTTGTAAATGATATTCAGGTTTTCTTCTTTGCTTTTCGCATCCTCTGGTCTGCATAACAGTGTTTGGAGACAATTTGTTGATTTATGAGCCACGCCAAATTTAAGTGGTTTCAGTAATCTTGTGGTGATTTCTGATATCAGAAATCATGACATTCAGGTCAGTCTATACAATCAATGACACAGCAGTCTAAGGAAACAATTAATCACAGACCACATCGTCAGAGCAAGCTACTAAATCACTGACGGAAAGATATTGACAGCTCATTCCATACTGAAGTTAGTGGTGATGATGTCGCTGTCTAGTAAGAGGATGAAAGCTTCGTGATTAAGCAACGCAGCTGAGAGGACACAATACAACCATGACCGTCCACCTGAGGTACAAATATTCTCTACCATTTCAATGCGTAAATGTAAATTTATGCGTATGGAACAGTTTTTAAATAAATACTTTCCTTTTCACCTTATCGGATGATTAAGAAATTAGAAAGAACAGTTCAAATTATTTCGAAACAATTCTCAGCTTTCATAATTCTTATAACAGTTGAATTAACCTCATTGATTTGGATTTTTTTCGCTAACTCCGTTTAACCATCCACTATCCTGTGAATTTTGGAATTACAGTTAGTAAGTACTCATTGCACGGTTGAAATCTTTGGAGGCGATGAATGCAACTCATGATATCTTCCTTGTTTTCGATACAGTATTTCGATGACCGAAAATGGTAATTGTGAGAAGTATATCTAAATGCTTAGGGATAAGACAATGAATGTGAATCGACTTTCAATAGTATGCACCAGTGAAACGTTTACTTATTGACGTTATTAGCTGAAAATATTTATTTCGTTCATTTCTGTAGATATTCTCAGCCAGATACTCTGTTCACTTGATCATACGTACACTGAATGTCATAGATAAACTGGATTCAGATTCACTACATGTTAATGTGCTTTAGTTCAACAGAAATTATTGATAAGTTTATCTTGTTGAAATGTTACTAATATCGCTTATCCCTTCAATATGTCTGTCACAGTAGGGGATGCTGGAGATTAACATACTACTTCCTCTGTTCATGTGTATATTTTATCTTGGTATTTGACGACTGTGTAGGTAGTGACAGTTCTACACCCACCATGATTAGTTCAACCACAAACTTAAGTTCCTTCATTGACTTCACAGTTATTGGTCATTTTAGTTGGGTATATCAAGTGTCACAGGTTCCAAAAAAAGTAACTGGTTCTCACAGACTGTTAATATTTCGTAACAGAGGAGGGTACTACAAGTAAATATTAGGATAACTTGTGTGTTGGTGTTAATGAAATCAGAAGTCCTCTGAATACCACACTCTAGTTTACGAATTATTATGTGATAAGCTTCATTTTGTTAAGAATACTAGATTCAACCATCAAAATAATCTGTTGATGTCAAAGTGGAGATGGAAAGACTTGGCGCATTTCAGCATATGTGAACGTTTTAAACGTGTTCATAATTACATCTAAACGTTTTTAAATGAATAATAAGCTCTTCCTTAGATACAGCTAATGATTCTGTTCACGTTGTCTAACGTTTCTATGAAAACTGTCTAGTTTCGTTTATTAGATATGAAAAATTGTTAACTTTTGTCATTTCTAATAATCCTCAACCCAAAATTTCAAACTTCGACAAAATTTGCCTCAAATCTTTCTAGGAATTTCTACGTTATCGAAAGTTTGGAATAATCTAACGATTGTAAAACCAAATGATAAATGCTTACAATAAGAGAAACTAAATTGATAAACAAACACATTAATTGATAAATACGTCATTCAAGACATGAGAGTTATGAATAATCATTGGACAATGATTACATCATGGAAAAACAAAAAAGTTCGGGAAAAATATCCAGTAGACTAGGTTTCAGCTGGTAGTGGTTGTACTTCTCAAAGCAATTAGGTAAGATGTTAGAAAGTACCGTGTGGACAGACATTGGAAGATTACTTCTATTTTTGTATCAGCCAATATAATGGTCAAAACTAGTTTTAATACATTGAAAACTATAGTCAATATGCAAGTCAAAAGCATTTTATCATCTTAATTATTGAATACGGGAAATACAGAAGGGATTCTTCAATGTGGCTTGTGAGAATACTAATTGAAGAATCAAAGACTGATGTGAAACGCACGATATGTGGATGAGTTTAAGGGTTTTGAAAAATTAAAGATTTTTCATTGTTATTTCAATGCACTCAACTATGGACCTATGAAGCTTTGATTAAATCTTTGGACAAAAATCATGGGATCATTTCAGTTTGGAAAACAAGAAGTAAGGCATAGATTTAAATCATATACGATATCTGACTCAAAGCTCTGCTGATGATCAGTAATATCATTACCGAAATTTCAATTAACAGCAGTCAAACGATAGAGCTAATATGTCATCTGAAAACTGATGATTGAGAGTTTTGCCATGATTTGCTAATACTTCGGAAATCAAACATTTGAAAAATAGCTGGAGATTCTGAGTGAAACCCTCTGCACCAAAACCTACGGGAATAGAAGGGTAGAAATTTCCGGACTATACAATACCAAAATAAAATGAACAATTATTTGTTAAAACAGTTAGCGGAAGCCAGCGCAAAATGTGAATTGAAGTATAAAATCATATTACTTGTCCCTTGGGTTCCTAACGGAAAATGGCACTTGAGTAGCACGTATCCATTCCACTCTCTTCTCTGAAGTCTTTTCAACCTGTCTATACGACTGCCCACAAACCCTCATTTCCACCTCACACGATCTCCTTCATGTCATCCTCAATCAGAAAGACCAACTCATCGCTTCCCATTCGAGCAACTGGCCAGACTCGTGGTGTACCCAGTCGGCATTCTCACTCTATGCCTATCTCAATCCCAATCCATCTCAACTTACACTTCCTCATGCATATTTGTTCAGTGATAGCTTCTTGCTTCGTTTCTTCGTTCCCAGAGTTCCCTGTTGCTCATCCTAACTATTCTGACCATCTGATCCTCAGTGTCAGTAACGAGCCAGTGTAGGCAGTTGTTGATGAATGTTTGTAGTCTGTTGGAAATGCATTTCGGAATGCACCAAGTCTCTCAACACTCACATAGAAGCACTGAATTGACTCAGGTTGGTGTTGGAAATTCGAATGTTGTTCACGCTTATTGTAGGCTGAGTGAAGATGATCTCCACACTGGTCTCAGGTTAATGAACGCTTGTCTTGCTGTCTTTCCAAACGTGGCTGGCTTTGACATCCTCATTTGTGCCACCACCGCCTGTAACTGAAACAGTGCCGCCTGTGTGGTGGGTGAAGGAGGCTACTCCCCTTACGTTTCTCCCGTTGATGGTGATTGAAGCTTGTTGTTGTTGTTGTTGGTGGTGGTGGTGGTGTTGGTGATGGTGGTGGTGGTGGTATTGTTGTGTATTTTCGTCACCTCTGTCTTATCCATATTCACTTGAAGTCCCCTCTTCCTTCGCTGCCTCACCTCTCCTACCAACTTGCTGGTTTTCGTCTGTAGATCATCAAGTTTGTGCCACAAGACATTAGACAGAAGATCGTGGTTGGCGAAATCCAAATCTTCTGGATTCTTTTCCTTAGTCGATGCAGCGTATTCCCCTCTTCTCACAGCTCCTCACAGTTGTCTGTTGGAAGATGCAGTCGAC